CTGGGTTGAGTCCATCCGAGATATATGCTCCTTCCAATGACCTAGTAATTTTTTCTATTTCTGCTGTGTATTGATTAGCAGTTTGCTACGTTGTTGGATGTTCAGGAGTTAGCGGTTAAAACTTCTACTGATTCACCCTTTATTTTGTTTTTATCAGTTCTATTGTGTTTTCGGTACTGATAAAATTTCTTTCCATGCCTTTTAGCTTGGTTTTTATCATTGTTATCGCTAAGGCTTCGTGATCATCGTTGATTTGATCAAGTATATCAAGGGCGTCTAGGAAACTGTGTAAGTTCTCCGGCTTACCATCAAACTCTGGTAGCACTGATGAAGCAGTTTTAACAAATTCGACTACAGTTTGCACCATTGTGACGTTTATGATTGGGATGCCTAACGGTTTCTTTTCTTCCACTGATGGAGTTTGGCTCAAGGAAGGTGATGGAATCGGGCTCTGAGCACGTTCTGATAAAATTGAATTGAAATCGATCTGGAGTTTTTCCTCTACTGTGGTTGGTATTGTTACTTCTATATTGTGTCTAGCTAAAGAAGATACCAACTTATCTCGTACGGCGAAGANTCTGATAAAATTGAATTGAAATCGATCCGGATTTTTTCCTCTACTGTGGTTGGTATTGTTACTTCTATATTGTGTCTAGCTAAAGAAGATACCAACTTATCTCGTACGGCGAAGAAAAATTGGCGGACTTCTTTCTGGTGTTCTTTGGTAAGTATACGGTCTGTTGTATTGATCACCTGTCTTATTCTTTTTAGAGCTTTTAAAATTATGTTCAAATGCTTTACTACTGTTTCTATTTTTATAGTAGCGTTTTTATTTATGCATTTGTACGACTTACTAGCTTTTGTTTTTTCTTGAGATAATACGTCGTATATTTCTTGCCATTGGTTCATTTCTTGGAATATCGAATTTTTTGTTTAGACGCGTTGTTGTACCGTGTTCAATTGTCTCAGTTTATTCTTTATATAATTTTTTAATAGAATTGCAATTGCGACAAATAAAAATGTAGTTACGCATGTGAAAATAGATAACCATTTATCTGAGATTTCTTCTTTGTTTTCTATACTGAGTTTTGGTTCATACCTGACCAGTTTATTTTCAGCGTTTTTCTCTCCAGAATTTTCCTTACCGACTTCGTATCCTGCTATTCCTATTAGGATACCGTGTAATACGGTTTTCCACCATGCCATTTTCAAAAAGAAAATTAAAGTCGTTATGTGTATATTTTTATTTATTTATTTACTGAAAAGAATCTCTTACAATTTAATTTAATCCTCATTAGGGAATACCATCCTCATCATCCTACATGTTTCTTCTTCTCTAGTTGTAGGCATCATCTAAAGTAGGTTCCCTAGTCATACCTATTAGACTCCATAAGCTAATTCTCTCTCTCTCTAACTTTTAAAGTTGCGTTTTGAGAGATGTTGCATATGCTTGAAAACGGTGACTCATTTAAATAATTTTTGGTGATTCTTACTTTTTCCCAATCTCAAAAATATTAAGGTTGGCAAAATTTTTTTAATCAAGATCTTCAGCCAAGGCCCTAAATTCTGTGTTGCAATTTTGTTGTAGCTTTTCCACAATAAATTTTCATTATAAAAAACGTCCTCGAGCTCAATAAAAATTGTTGAATATAATTGTTATAAGGCCAAAAAATAACAAAAACAAATAACTTAAGGACGAGCACACCTAAAGGTTAAACATTCTAAAAATAGAATTATTAGCAAAAACCAACACAACCAACAACCACATGATCAAGTGAATTGCAGCGGAATAGCTGCGCTTGATTGTGTTGGCATAACAAAAATGAAAATAGTGGAAAAACGCAAACGATAATTTACAAGGCGTACTTAGCACGGTGCATAGGCAACTGGCTGAGTCAGTGGGATCGTCGGTTCGAAGCC